TGCCTGAGTGTGTGCAGGAGTAACAGGTGAGCCTGGGCACTGACCCTGCACACTGGCCAACTTCTCCTGGCTAACCTTAGGTTACAAAAACATCAAGTTCAGCAGAGGATCCTGAGACCAGAAGGTAGGCAGTCGGAGTTTTCCGGAAGCCAAGGGCTGGTCTGCGGATGGCCCCGCTCCACTCTAGCCCCGCCTCGCCCCGCCTCCTGCCCGTGGATGGCCCCGCCCCATTGTGCCCGTGCCCTGCCCCGTTTCCTGATCGCGCACGGCCCCGCCCCGCCCCCTGCTCCGTTAACTCGGGTCCAATGAGGGAAGTCTATAGCTTCCGGTAAGTGAGGTTGGAGTCGAGCCGGAAGATAGGGAAAAGGACTGATCTCATTTCCCGGCAGCAGAGCCGGACGCGACAGGACGTGGACTTCGTGTGAGGGAGGCGGAGCCGAGCGCAGGGTGTGGCGAGGGAACGGAAACCCATCCGGGCTCCCTCCCCGCAGGGCAAGGAAACCCGGCCTGTGTTCCCGGCAGGGGAGCGGCGGGCCCGTCCCCGAACACGTCACACTAACGTCTGCCCGCCTGTCCCCGCCATTCACGGGTCCACACCCCAACTAATCCTCTGGTCCCAGTTGTGTGTCATTTCTGCGGGAGCCTGTCAACTCGGGAAATTGAGTTCCACAGTTGGGAAATGCCCTTTAAGTAGCTTTCAATCTTCATTTTGCTAATATGTCTGGCGCTTATTTTACATTTATGCTGTATCAGTCTAACTTAGTATAGCTAATACTCTTTAATGATCTGGTAAACATCTATTACTGAAATGCTACAGATGAAGGAATAAGGTTGTAAAGAAGGCGTTATCAGCCTTTTGGCTAGGATCAAGTGTGATGAGATGTGTTTCCGATTCTATCAAGTAATGGTGCTGGGTCTAAATTCTGATTTTTTAAATTATTTTATTGATCTATTTTTGTTGGTCGTGGGGCTTGAATTCAGACCCTGGGTGCTTTTCCCTGAACTGTTTCACCAAAAGGCCAGAAGTGGAGCTGTGGCCAAGTGTTAGAATGCTAAACTTGAGCAAAATAGCTCAATAGCGCCCAGGTCTTGAGTACAAGAGCCTTAGGACACACACACAAACACGATTCTTACCAAGAAATCTTTAACTCCTGCATGGCAGAAAATGTTTCTCTTCTCCATTTCTTGCTCCTTTAGACCTATTATTCTAGAACAAAACTTTGCTAAAACTTAAAACCAAAGAAAACCCAGAATATTTTCGGTATATCGGGGCTAAAGGAAGATGTAATAGTAGTCTCCATTAGAGGGAGCCTTAGTCTCAGGAAGGGAAATTAGCTCAGCAATATGAAATCTACAGAGACACATCTACAGATGCATGTATGTGTGTAGCAATCTATCTCTCTGCACATGCATACTTTGTTCAGAATTGTGTTTTCATTTCCTATAAGAAAATGAAAGGCTTGGCCGTGTGTCAGTGGCTCATGCCTGTAATCCTAACTACTAGGGAGGCTGAGATCTGAGGGTCATGTTTCAAAGCCAGCCCTGGCAAGTAAGTAACCATCAGAAAACCAGAAGTGGCGCTGTGGCTCGTGGTAGAGTGCTAGCCTTGAGCTGAAGAGCTGAAGGAGTTCAAGCCCCACGACCTACAAAAGAAAAAGAAAGGAAGGAAGGAAGGAAAAGAAAGGCCATGTGGGACAGGGGCTATAAATAGTTTAAAACTTGACTAGTAACTTGGTTGGATACAATCCTGTTAGCTAAGGAAATGAAGTAAAAGCCAGATCTCCAAGCCAACACCTATACCGGGGAGGTAGCATGGAGCTACTTGGAGGCTAGTAGCTATAGCTTGTGCTATAGCTTGGAAGCTGATGATATTACTAGTGACCGTGATTCAAGAAGTCAGCCTGTCTCCTGAAGCATACATGAAATAGATAAGTCTTTAATAACAATTGGTTACGCATCATTTTTTTAAGCTTTAAAATTCGGTCATGGGAAGAAAAATATATTAAAAGTTGAAGTTGCTGACTTGGGGGCTATTATAAATTCGTACATGGTAGTTTATCTAACAATATAAATTTTTTGTAAGCCAGACACAGAGTCTGTACTTCTAGCTCTTCAGGAAGCTGAGATTGGCTAGCCTGGGCAGAGTGCTGAATGTGTCCATGATAGAATCAAATGTGGGTTAAAAATTTTTATTGTTATTATAAAGGTTATATACAGAGGGGTTACTGTTCATAAGTCAGGTCAAGAGTACATTTCTTTTTGGAGAGTGTTACCTCCCTTTCCTCACTCTCAAATGTGTTTTTTGAGGAGTGGAAATGATTATGAAAGTGTTGAAGACATAGCATAGAGTCTGAAAGCTAAATAAAAACATGAAGTTTTTTCACGCCTGTAATCCTAGCTACTCAGGAGGCTGAGATCTGAGGATCGCGGTTCAAAGCCAGCCCGGGCAGGAGAGACCGTGAGACTCCTATCTCCAATAAACCACCAGAAAAGCCGGAAGTGGCGCTGTGGCTCAAGTGGTAGAGCGCTAGCCTTGAGCTGAAGAGCTGAGGGACAGCGCCCAGGCCCAGAGTTCAGGCCCCACAACCAGACCCCCCCCAAAAAATTAAAATGTAACAACTGAATACAACTATTTGTGGTACTAATGAAAAGAATGCAGTTCTTTGGTGGTAAGAAATTATTTTACTTAATTCAAAGTTAATGTTCTTCAGTGAAACCTGCTGAAATTATTTTTAGAAGGAAGTGGAGTAAGGAAGAATGATAGAGGGGAGTTAGTGTGACAAGGATACATTGTATACATGGATGAAAATATCACAATGAAATTTCCTCTTCTATGCCTAATGTATGCTGATTTAAAAATAAATAGGGCTGGGAAGGTGGCTCAGTGGTAGAGCGCTTGCCTTGCATACATGAGGCCCTGAGTTCGATTCCTCAACACCACATAAGCAAAAAGAAAAAAAGCCAGAAGAGGTGCTGTGGCTCAAGTGGTAGAGCACTAGCCTTGAGCTGAAGAGCTGAGGGACAGTGCCCAGATCCAGAGTTCAGGCCCCACGACTGGACCCCCCCAAAAAAAATAAAAAGCTAGCTGGGTGCAGGTGACTCATGCCTATAATCCTAGCTACGCAGGAGGCTGAGATCTGAGGAGTGTGGTTCAAAGCCAGCTGGAGCAGGAATTTTTGTTTGTTTGTTTTGTCAATCTTGGGGCTTGAACTCTGGGCCTGAAACACTGTCTCTTAGCTCTTCAGCTCAAGGCGAGCACTCTCCCACTTGAGCCACAGCTCCACTTTCAGCTTTTTCTGTTTATGTGGAGCTGAGGAATAGAACCTAGGGCCTCATGCATGCAAGGCAAGTGCTCTACCACTGAGCCACCTTCCCATCCTGCTGTGAGATTTTTACCACCGATTAACCACTAGAAAACCAGAAGTGGTGCTGTGGCTCAAGTGATAGAGCACTTGCTTTGAGCTGAAGAGCTTAGGGATAGCACCCAGGCCCAGAGTTCAAGCCTCATGACTGACAAAAAATAAATAAGTAAATAAAAAAGAAAAATAAAAAGCTAACAACAAAGTTAGTTTTTGTTGTTGTTCTTTTGTTTTGAGGCAGGGACTCTAATTGATTGGATTCAAATTTTGATGTGGTTCAGGCTGCCTTCAAACTCTTGATCCTCTGGCCTCAGCCTACTGAGTGCTGGGATTACAGATCTGCTCCTGCCTTTTGCCATGTTTATAAACCATTTAAAAAATTTTTGGTACTGATACTGGAGCTTGAACTCAGTTTTGCTTATGGCTGGTACTCTACCACTTAAGCCCATGCTTCTAGTTCCTGTCTTTTGCAGGTTAATTGGAGATAAATCTCTTAGATTTGTCTGCCTAGGCTGGCTTTGAACCTCTAACCTCAGAGCTCAGCCTTCAAAGTATCTAGGATATGGACATCAACAACTAGTTCCCTGCTGTATAATGTGTGTGTGAGTGTGTGTGTGTGTGTGTATGTATGCACACATGTATGTGTGTGACCCTCGGGCTTGAACTCAGGGTCTGGGCACTGTCCCTGAGCTTTTTTACTTAAATTTAGCGCTCTACCACTTTGGCTACTGTTCTGGTTCCAGCTTTTTCTGTGGTTAATTGGTCAAAAGAGTCTTGTGGACTTTTCTGCCTATGCTGCCTTCAAACTGTTATCCTCAGATCTCAGCCTCCTGAATAACTAGGATTACAGGTGTGAGCCTACAATGCTGGGATTTGCAAAGACTTTTAATAATCATAGAATAATGTTTTACTTTTTTCATAATTACATATTGTCTGTGTTAAACATGTTTTTCATTTGTTCTGTCTATAAAATTATCTTTATCGATACTCTTAATTTTTGGTACACTTCTCATGGTTTCTACCTATATAGAATGGACCTTAGCCAGTTTCAATAAATCACTTTATATGCTCTTTAAAAAATCTCTAGGGTTGTGAATGTAGCTTAGTAGTAGAGTGCTTACCTAGCATACATGAAACTTTGGGTTCGATTCCTCAGTATCACATAAACAGAAAAAGCCAGAAGTGGTGCTGTGGCTCAAGCCCCAGGACTGGCCAAAACAAAAACAAAAAACAAAAACCTCTAGCAGTTGTGAAAATTAAAGTTCATTCTAGTAGTGTTTAACTCAATAAATCCAAAATATTATTTGAACATTTAATCAGTGTTAAACATTATAATCAGATTTTGTTGTACTAGATCTTCAAAATCCAATGCATTTCATATTTACAAAGCACCTAGTCATATTTCATGTTTTCAATAGATACATGCCAGATTGCACCCACTAAACTAAATTAACCCTGTACCACCCAGCATGAACAAGGTCCTATGTTCAATCCTCAGCACTTTAAAAACAAAATGAATTACATCCTAATTCCAGGATGTAATTTTGAACATACATGGTTGTTCAGACCTCTGTTTTAGTCATGATTTCCTAGATTTGGGGCCTGTAACCCACACAAGTATTCTCATCTTTCTTCCCACAGTATGAGAAAGCCTTCTCAGCCAGGTATCTGCAGAACTGGTCTCCTGCCAAGCCAACAAAAGAGGTATTTTATGTTCATTGCCTCTATAAGGATAGTTTACAGTACTTTACAGTATGCCTACATACCTTATAATTCCTATGGCCTAATCCCTTTTAGCCTTGTCTAAACTTTAGCCCTCTCCATGACCTTAATCCAAGCCCACCAGATACTTCTTTTTCCCCCTCCCTCTTTTTCATTTCAATAACTTCTCTCTCCCACCTTCACCACAGACAATTTCTCCCCAAGAAGGCTATACTCAGATTATTGCTGATGATCGAGGTCATCTGTTGCCTTCTGTGCCCCGTTCCAAGGTGAGATACAAATCTGGATTCCTATCAAGAAGGTAAAGAACTGAGGCATATAGCACTTGGGAGATTGCAGCCACTATCTAGAAAATTAAAGTTTAATCTAATTTTGTGGTAAGTAACCCAAACTTCCAGTTTTTTCAACAGAAGAGTTTGGTTTAACACACAAATCCTTAAAACTGATGAGTGATTCTTATCAACAAATGTTTGCAGGTGAGACATTTATGCACAGGACTCATCACACTTACGCCATTATTAAGTAAGCAAAGGAGTGACTGCAAAACATGAGATTATGCTTTCAGCTTTGTTTCATGTTAAAGTAACTGAGTTTTTTTTTCAGGGATGTGTGTTTTTATTTTATTGTGGTGCTGGGAATCAAACTCAGAGCAGCCTTTATGTTATGCAAGTATACTACTACTCAGCTAAAACCCCCAATTATCCTTATTATCAAGCACTCCCAAAGGTAAAGAAGAGAAATAAACTACAGGTACTCATAAATCCTAGCTTCTTAGGGTACTACAGGTGCTCATAAATCCTAGCTACTTAGGAGGCTGAGATCTGAGGACGACAGTTTAAAGCAAGGAGACTCTCCAATTAATCACCAAAAAGTCAGATGTAAAGATTTGAATCAAGTGGTAGAGTACTAGCTGTGAGCAGAAAAATAGCTAAGGGACATTGCCTAAGCCCTGAGTCCTAGCCACAGTACCAACACAAAAAGAAAAAGAAAAAAGATGGAAATAAGAAAACAAAAGTCCTCCAACAAGAAATCTCCTGGCCCTGTTGAGAAATCCCTTTTCCTTTCAGGCAAGTCCTTGGGGTTCTTTCATGGGCACCTGGCAAATGCCTCTGAAGATACCTCCTGCTCACGTGAACTTGACCTCCCGGACAGCTGCTGGTGCTGCCTCCCTCACCAAATGGATACAGAAAAATCCTGATCTACTTAAGGCCTCTAATGGGCTTCAGCCCGAAATTTTAGGCAAGGTATCTATTCTTTCCATCTTAACCTCAAACCTTATTGTATTCTCAACAAAGTGTAGTTATGCCACCTGTAGCCCAGCAGGGGAGCACTAGCCAATTGTTTTTTCCTGCCTACTCTTTAATCACGTTCTGAGGACTGAAGCAATGAATTAATCTAATCTGAAGGGGAGGTTAAAGTTTAACTATTCTTGCAGGAAACATGTTTACAGTATGCGAATGGAGATAGAATTCTAAGGTGGATTGTAATAACCTGGGCTTGATGAGAAACATGATTGTCTCTCCCACTCTAACTTTAACCAGCCCAAAGATCCAGACAATCAGAAGAAACTCAGGAAGGAGTCTGTCACGAAGACTGTACAGCAAGCATCAAGTCCAACCATAATTCCAAGATCCCCTACTATTGAAAATTCCCCAGATCAATCCCAAAGTTCACACCCTTCTGCAGGTCACACTCCAGGTCCCCAAAGCCCAATCAGCTCTCCTAAGAGCGGACCTGGAAGCCCCATGTGTGTGCTAGAACACTAAGCAGGTCTTTTATGTAGCCACAACCCAGAAATGCAAATCTACAACTTCAGGAGCTCAAGAGGCCACACTGAGAAAAATCCGTCTTGGAGAATAAATAAGTAAGACTTAGGTCAGAAATGTGTAACAGAAAAGTTATAAAGACAAATTTGAACAATAAACATTGTTGAATCTTTTGCTGATCTGGATTTTCTCTTCCTGCTACACCTGCTGCTTATAAGTCATAATTAGGATTAGGGAAGGAAGGGGATGAGAGTTTGATAGGGGAGGGGTACATCGTGTGCATGGAAATGTCATAATGAAACACCCCTTTACAACCAGTACATACTCATAAGAATGGGATACAACTCATTTTTGTAAGGATTGAGTCAGTTCCAACTCCAGAAATGACCAAGAAAAAAATGATCTGAATTGAAGCAAAAGGGTAGAATCTCAAAGAATCAATCATTTACTCTCTCATTCTGACAATGGACATCTTAAAAACCAAAAGTAGGGATTGTTTACTAGAATATATGCATGTGTTTAGAGAAGGAAGGTATGGAAAACCAATGTAGAAGACAAAAATCTAAACAAAATATAAAAACAAGATATGGGGCTGGGAAGGTGGCTCAGTGGTAGAGTGCTTGCCTCGCATGCATGAGGCCCTGGGTTCGATTCCTCAGCACCACATACACAGAAAAAGCCAGAAGTGGCGCTGTGGCTCAAGTGGTAGAGAGCTAGCCTTGAGCTGAAGAACTGAGGGACAGCGCCCAGCCCAGAGACCAACAAAACAACAAATAAAAAGAAAAAAGTAGGTTATTTAAAAAAAAAGATATGGAAGTAAGAAGACAGAAGAAAAATCAAGATGACAAGTATAGCTCTTCTGCTATCCTCTTCCTTCAGTAACTGGCATAGTAAGAAGCAATCCCCAAAGCCAGAAAGTCCTCTATCCCTTTCCCAGGGTCCTATTTATCATTGGCCATACTCTGCATCTTCCTGTTAAATTTAATGCCCTTTCCTAGTCTCAATATCAGTGTTCCCTCCTGAACACTTGTTTCTCAAACTATAGGATACAGTTGATAGCTATCAGACTTCCTAGGGCCAGTCTAGCAAAAAAGGGGAAGTAAAGACTTTGGGAACTGGATAGACTAGTGGGATAGTAGATCCCATTGTCTTAGCTTATATGACTTTCTTTCCAACTGACAGTGAATTAGTTACTTCTCTTCAACCCATAAACCCATAGTTTTAACAAGTTTACCGCCAACTCAGTGACAAGTGGTTACTTTTACTCCTGAGTATGCAAGACTATGAAAACTGTACTCCTATCAAGGGCTTTAGGGACCCAGTAGCGTGGCTTATATGATTATAAAAGTACCAAGTTTTAGCCAGGTGCTGGTAGCTCACGCTTGTAATCCTAGCTACTCAGGAGGCTGAGATCTGAGGATCATGGTTCAAAGCCAGCCCAGGCAGGAAAGACCCTGAGATTCCTATCTCCAATAAACCACAAGAAAACCGGAAGTGGCACTGTAGCTCAAGTGGTAGTGCTCGCCTTAAGCTGAAGAGCTGAGGGACAGCGCCCAAACCCAGAGTTCAAGCTCCATGACTGACAAGTTTCCTCATTATAATTTGCTAGGATTTCAATAATCTCTTTTTTTCTTAATCTCCATTCATCTTTATCTTCAAATCATCTCTTTGCTGGTCATCATCCCTTAGATGTCACTTCTCACTGGATAATTTGCTGAACTATATCATGAGGCATATATCAGCTCTCGTTGGGAATTTGGAGCCTGTAGTAACTCAAATGCTCTCAATATGTTTAACTTCCCTTCTCCTTCTCTGGCTTGTGATTGATACGAAAATCTCTGGCTACTTATATTTAGTCCTCTAAAATTTTTCTTGTGGTCATTTATATGACAATCTTTCCACTGGGAAAGTTTATACTGAGGGATACCTGAAACCCAAAGGAGGGGGAGGAAATTGGTTACTCCCCAGCAGCCATCCTTTTGGTTTCTCTAGAAAAAGAGAGCCAAAGATAAAATTAGTTCTTTAATTGAAGTTTTAGAAAAAGTTGGTACATGAATTTGGATTAGAAAACATGACACCAGGAGTTTTATTTTTCCAGAAATAGAAAACAAAAAGGCAAGAGTAATTTCTGGGTCTTCTTGCATCAAACTTATATGTCTTTTTTCCAAAGCCTCAGCTCTAAGTAACAACTCTTTATCTTGCTCTAGGTGGGCCAGGATAATTCCCCTCCACCCCCATCTCCCTTCTTTCAATTACACTATGTGGGTGCTAAAGGCCTTGGACTCTGGCCAATGAGCAGAACTGTCCTTTAAACAAGCAACCCACAGGCAGTGGCACCCAAAGCCTTTCCCCCAGTCCCCAGGCAGCCACAGAGATGGCATTGTTTCCACTGTCTCAGGAAGAAGAAACTAAAAGCTGACTCTCAGCACAAATTAGAGCCCAATATAGAGAGGGAAAAATGGTTCCTAGGCCTAGTGTAGGCTATAAGCTGTGGGCAGGAAAAGAGAATTTTTACAGCTACTGTTAGAAATGAAGGGAAATTGCACCTTTTCTACTCTACCAAGCCTAAAGGGAATTTGCAAAAGAACTAAACAAGTCAGAAGACCTTTATTGGCAGGAGGTGAGTGACAAACAGGAAGATAAATTGGTATAATAATTTTCAGGAAGACAATGATGGGAACTTCAGATCTTCACATGGCTGCCAGCCCTAGAGAGCACAACACAGTAAGAACCAAGACAGCTGCTCCAGACTGGTAGAGCTGGGGAATCTTCAGGCCCTTTCCTAGGTCCCATGTCTGCAGAAAAAGGAAAAAAAAAATTTTTTTTCTAGTAATTAAGACACTTGTCATTCCTACAGCTCCTTTCTTAGAAAGGAATTCTTTACCTCATAAAATAGGTACCTCTGTGTGATTATAAAGAATATCCCACCTTTGCCTTCCTCAAAACCCACAATATAATACCTTTACCCATTTATCCTAAAGACAAAATCAAGTCCTATTATGTGATAGTGATAGAGGAGTATTTACTGGAATACCACAGACCCTACATAAAGAAGCTTCTAGACTGAACTGATAAAACTTCTTTTCAGGGGGCTGGGAAGTTGGCTCAGTGGTAGAATGTTTGCATCTCATGCATGAGGCCCTGGGTTTGATTCCTCAGCACCACAAAAGCAGAAAAAAGCTGGAAGTGGCGCTGTGGCTCAAGTGGGTAGGGCGCTAGCCTTGAGCTGAAGAGCTGAGGAACAGTGCCTGGGCCCAGAGTTTAGCCCCCACGACTGACAAAAAAACAAAAACAAAAAACACAAACCAAACTTTTTTTCAGTGCTCTTAGCCCTTGTAAGGGTGAAGCAGGAAGATCAAGTTTAACCTGGGCTACACAGCAAGATCATTTCAAAAATCCAAAAACAAAACAAAAACAACGTTTTGAATTTGTGCCCCCAAACTTAATTCTGAATATTGCTATTATAAGGCATTATATGAGGTTAGGAAAAGTTGTGGTCATATAAATTTGGTAAATATTTCACTACAAGATTCTCAAAACAGTCGGGCACCACTGGCTATAATCTGAGGATCATGGTTCAAAGCCAGCTTGGGCAAAGAAAGTCCATGAGACTCTTATCTCCAATTAACTACCAGAAAACCAAAGTGGCACGGTGGCTCAAGTGGTAGAGCATTTGCCTTAAGCTGAAGAGCTCAGGGACAGTGCCAGGCACAGAGTTCAAGCCCCACCACCGACCAAAAAAAAAAAAAAGATTCTCAAAACATGGGACTGGGAATATGTTTGCCTAGCATGCATGAAGCCCTAGGTTCAATTCCTCAGTACCACAGAAACATAAAAAGCTGGAAGTAGTGCTGTGGCTCAAGTGGTAGAGCACTAGCCTTGAGCAAAAGAAGCTCAAAGACAGTGCCCATACCCTGAGTTCAAGCCCCAGGACTGGCAAAAGAAAGAAAGAAAAAAATTCTCAAAACCAATTATGGTGCATCCTGTGAGTCTCCAAAAAGAGATAGTGTTTATGATATATTGAGTTATAGAATTCCTTTCTAGTGAGAATACCTATCAGAGAATTACTATTTTTTTTGGGTCCAGTCGTGGGGCCTGAACTGTGGGCGCTGTCCCTCAGCTCTTCAGCTCAAGGCTAGCACTATACCACTTGAGCCACTGCGCCACTTCCAGATTTTCTTTTTGCTTATGTGGTGTTGAGGAATCGAACCCAGGGCCTCAGGCATGCAAGACAAGCGCTCTACCACTGAGCCACCTTCCCAGCCCCAGAGGACTACTATTTTAAAAAATGTTTTTGAGGATCTAAAATACTTTTTCAAAAAAAGTTTTTTCTTTTGAGATGGAAACTTGTTATGTTGCTCCTAAGCAGATTCAAACTAGGTTCAACAGATCCTACCATGTCAGCTTTCTGAACAGCTGAACTATGGGACTATAGGCACTCACCACCAATGAACAACTCTCAATTTTGACTATGATCATACCAAAATTTAAAAATATTTTAAATTAGAACCCAGCAGAAATACAACAAAAGTTCATGAAACAATAAAAAACATTTACCACTATTAATTTGTGCTACATTCTATATTTTCTATCTTTTTGTGTGTGGGGGGGTACTGATGTGTTTGAACATGGAGCCTTATACTAACTAGGTAGGTGCTCTACCATTAAGCCATGCTTTCACCTTTTTTGTACTAGTTATTTTTATTTTTTTTTTGCCAGTCATGGTGCCTGAACTCTGGGCCTGGGCACTGTCCCTCAGCTCTTCAGCTCAAGGCTGGTGCTCTACCACTTGAGCCACAGCACCACTTCCAGCTTTTTCTGCTTATGTGGTGCTGAGGAATCAAACCCAGGGCCTCATGCATGCAAGGCAAGTACTCTACCACTGAGCCACCTTCCCAGCCCCTGTACTAGTTATTTTTGTGAGACTCTTTTCTTTCCTTTTCTCCCCACCCCACCTCCTCTTTTTTTTCCTTTTGTCAGTTGTGGGGATTGAACTCAGCGCCTGATGGGTGAGCTTCTTCATTCAAGGCTAGCACTGTACCATTTTGAGCCACAGCACCACTCTGGTTTTCTGGTGGTTAATTGAGATAAAACAAAGAATAACTAAAGTGGACTTGAGGTGTGGCTCAAGTGGTAGGGCTTCAGTTGTTAGCCCCGCCCCCCCAAAGCCTATAGAGCACATATGGCTGTAAGTTCAAATCAGGTATCAGCAAAATAAATAAATAAACAAATGTAAGCCTTAAGTTCAAACAGAGAGAGAGAGAGAGGGGGGGGAGAGAGAGAGAGCACGTGACTAACACTAAGGTAATGAATGTATGAACAACATACACTGATAGATTCGAAATCAAGATCAAAAGCTAGGATCTGTAGTACCTAGCTTCTATTAAAGTTTTGGCTTTTTCTCCAGTCATTCAAAAGAAATAAAAATAGTTAATACAATATAATGTTAAGACAACAAAAGTTAAAAAGACAAAGGTTATTATAGTTTTGTATTCAGTCAGATTTATCACTGAGTTGACAGAAATATTAGACTGAAAGCAGTTCTATGTGGCTCATAATAGAATTACCAGTGTTTAGAATAGTGTTTAACACATAATAGCTATCAGTTCATATTTACTTAATAAATATGTCTTCTATGCTTAATAAATGATCTAGTTTCAGGAGTATCTTTTAATAACACCACTCTTAACATTGGGAGAGTTCATGCTGACACACTGAAGCATCTGCTTGGCTTATACCTATTAAGAAATAGAGGAGGGATCTTTCCCTAAGAACACCTGAAGTAAAACTCTTTCACAACTCTCCTCAGAACAGCTCTAAGGATTAAAGGTATACCTGAGAGGTACAATATAGGCTTTTTTTGTTTGTTTGTTTGGTCGATATTGGGGCCAGAACTCTGGGCCTGGGTTGTGTCCCTCAGCTCTTCAGCTCAAGGCTAGAGCTCTACCATTTGAGCCTCAGCACCCCTTCCAGCTTTTTCTGTGTATGTGGTGCTGAGGAATCGAACCCAGGGCCTCATGCATGCAAGGCAAGCACTCTACCACTGAGCTACCTTCCCAGCCCCAGGCATAGGCTTAACAAATATGAAACTCTAGGTTGAATAATCATTACTCACACACACACACACACGCACGCACGCACGCACGCACGCCTTAAAAATCAGCAATGAAGTAAAGTCCTCCCCCATACTGTGGCCTTCACATTCTTTTCTTTCAGAAAATGTACAAATCCAAATTTAACTTACCAAATGTCGAATCCCATTCCACATGTGATATGAGAGAGGCAAAGCAAGTACAAACTTAGCTGTATAGATCAATGTTGGCCCCAGATTCAGAGACTTCAAAAATTCCAAATAAGTCTCAAAGTTCCAAGGCAGCACCAATGATGACAAGCCAACAAGAGAGATCACTGAGGAGAAAAGCAAGGAGCCTATCACAACACTGGTTACAACAAGTATGAAGTGTAAAAGTGAGCTTCTAGGACAGCTGCTGGCACCTTATACAATTCTAAACCATTTTTCTTTCCCTATTTAGAGAGTACAAGTTTTCATAATCTAAACCCACGAACGATAGACCTTCTATTTTGAATGAACCCTTGTACAAATAGAAAAAAAATAACATTTAACATTTCTATACCAATAGAGCCATTAATTTCTGTTCAATACCAACTCAACACAAGATACTCTTTTGTTATTGTTGTTGGTCATGGGGCCTGAACTCTGGGCCTGGACACTGTCTCTCAGCTCTTCAGCTCAAGGCTAGCGCTATACCACTTGAGCCATTGCACCACTTCCAGCTTTTTCTGCTTATGTGGTGCTGAAGAATGGAACCCAGGGCCTCATGCATGCAAGGCAAGCGCTCTACCACTGAGCCACCTTCCCTGCCTCTAGGATACTTTTTTAAAAAGCTGATATCATAGCTAAAATTTCCTAAAGTTCAAATTATATATATATGTGTGTATGCATTATATATTATGTAATATATAGCATACAACTATATATCACATATAACACATGTATCATGCATTATATTACATATGAAATATAACTATAATTATTCATTATAACTATATAACATGCACATACACTATTTTATAGAACATAAATAGCATATATATCTCATATAAAGTATATTATATGTAGTTATATATAACTCATGTAGATTATATATAATGTACATATAACTCATGTGAGTTATTTACAACTTACATATAAACATGTATATATACTTTGTTATATAAGTACACATATAACTTTAGATATATAACATACATACTTATATATATAAATATACACATTATATTTAAGTATACACATGTATATATAGAGAGAGATATATGACCAATAGCAGCATGTTATAACATCAATAGTAGCAAGAGCTTTTCCATGTTCTGAAGTCAACTGAACATAATTCTACAGACATTTAGCACATTCCATCAAAAAAATAAAAGCTGGGTGGATTAGCCAGGTGCTGGTGGCTCACACCTGTAATCCTACTTAGGAAAGGCTGAGATCTGAGGATTGAGGTTCAAAGCCAGCCTGGGCAGGAAAGTCTATGAGGTTCTTATCTCCAATAAACTACTCAGAAAAAGGGAAGTGGGGTTATTGCTCAAGTGGTAGAGTGCTAGCCTTGAAGAGCTGAGGGACAGTACCCAGGCCCAGAGTTCAAAGTTCCATGACTGACAAAAAAAAAAAAAAAAGCTACTTGTCAGTGGCTCATGTCTATAATCTTACCTACTCAGGAGGCTGAGATCTGAGGATCGCAGTTCAAAGTCAGCCTGGGCAGAAAAATCTCTTGTCTCCAATAAACTACTTAAAAAGGCCAAGAAGTATTGCTGTGGCTCAAGTGGGAGACAGCACCCAGGCTGAGTTTAAGCCCCAGAATAGGCAAAAGAAAAATGAAACACACTCTTTACCTGGCTTCTATCACTGTAAAACCCCTCTGTACATCACCATTACAACATAAATTTTGTATAAGAAGACCTAAATATTGTAAGTAAACTATAAAACCTTCCTTTAGCAGAAAAGCATAGGACTAAATCTTGATCTTGGATTAGGCATTGGTGTCTTAGATATAATACTAAAACCATAAGTGATAAACAGAAGAATTAGACTTCATCAAAATTAAAAACTTTTGCCCTGGAGATAGTTTTACTAAGAAGACATGTTTAGGCATAACCAATGGGAATGGGAGAAAATACTTGCAAATCATGTATCTGATGTGTGATTTTTTTTTTAAAAGCATGCAGACATTTAATAAGTGATGATTTTGAGATCAAGGAAAGAAGGGAAAGAAGCAGGATTAGGCAGTTAGGGAACTTTCATAAAGAATATTATAGGGCCAGGTGCCAGTGGCTCATGCTTGTAATCCTAGCTACTCAGGAGGCTGAGATCTGTGGATCACAGTTCAAAGCCAGCCTGGGCAGGAAACTCCTAAGACTCTTATCTCCAATAAACCACTAGAAAACCAGAAGTAGGGGCTAGAAGGTAGCTCAGTGGTAGAGCGCTTGCCTTGCACGTATGAGGACTTGGGTTTGATTCCTCAGCACCACATAAGCAAAAAGAAAAAAAGCTGGAAGTGGCGCTGTGGCTCAAGTGGTAGAGTGCTAGCCTTGAGCTGAAGAGCTGAGGGACAGCGCCCAAGCCCAGAGTTCAAGCCCCATGACCGACCAAAAAAAAGAGTGTAACTCATTAGAAGGTAGGAGGAGTAAACATTTCTGAGGTGACAACTCTGACAGAAAGTGACTTATGTGTGTATCTTATGTGTTTACTAACTGAAATTTAGAATTTGTTTAGCAAATTTGCTAAGCAAATCTTTGTGTGCTAGAGGGTATAAATGGTAAATAAGATGAAGTACACACACTCTGAAGAGTTTACAGTATGATTAAAGATATAAAATTTAGAAGTTAGAAAAACTGTGATAAAAGCTGTGAAAGAAACAACCAATATAATGAACTACAAAGGACTAGTTCTGCAAAATAGAAAAGTAACAAGGAAAATATTGTTTTAGATAAGATGGGAAGCAAAGTACTCTGAGTTGACAATTTTGTTGACATCTGAAAGACTGGAAGAACTATGAGGCAAAAGGTTGGATGGGCATTTCAAATCAAGGGAACCATGACTGACACACACACACAAAAATTGTTCAAATAAAGGGACCAAAGTATACAATGGCTCTGAAGTGGAAGAGTTTCGCCTGTTTCAAGAATTCAGAGATCAGTATAAGAAGAATGGCAGAAATGGCCAGATATGGCAGAGCAAAAGCCATACATTTTGAAATTTCTTCACACACAACACACACACACACACACACACACATATCTTTTGTGTGTGTGAGTGCTGGGGCTTGAACTCTGGGCCTGGGCACTATCCCTGAGCTTCTTTTTTTTTTTTTAATTTTTATTGTGAAAATACTGTACAGAGGGGTTACAATTACATGGACAAGGTCCCTGAGCTTCTTTTGCTCCAGGCTAGCACTCTACCACTAGAGCCACAACTCCACTTCTGCCTTTTTCAGTGATTAACTGGAGATAACAGTTTACAGACTTTCCAGCCCCAGCTAGCTCTGAACCATGATCCTCAGATTTCATTCTCCTGAGTAGCTAGGATTACAGGCATGAGCCACCAGTACCAAGAGCTAAAATATTTTATTTTTTAGCCAGTCCTGGAGCTTGAACTCAGGGCATGGGCACTGTCCCCGGGCCTCTCTGTGCTCAGGCTAGCACTCTACCACAAGCCACAGCACGACTTCTGGCCTTCTGTTTATGTGGCACTGAGGAATCGAACCTAGGGCTTCATGCATGCTAGGCAAGCACTCTATCACTAAGCCACATTCCCAGCCCTGCTAAAATATCCCCCCTGCCCTTTCCCCCAGTCCTGCGTTTGAACTCAGGGCTTGGGTGCTGTCTCTGAGCTTCTCTGGCTCAAGGCTAGCACTCTACCACTTGAAAAATATTTTTGAAACAAGGCCTAACTATATAGCTCAGATGGACCTTGAACTCTTTTTTTTTTTCCCCTGTCAGTCCTGGAGCTTGAACTCTGAGCCTGGGCGCTATCCCTCAGCGCTTCAGCTCAAGGCTACCGCTCTACAACTTGAGCCGCAGCACCAGTCCGGCTTTTTCTGCGTATGTGATGCTGAGGAATCAAACTCAGGGCCTCATGCATGCAAAGCAAGCACTCTACCACTGAGTCACCTTCCCAGTCCCAGACCTTGAACTCTTGATCTTCCTGTTTTAGCTTTCTAAATTCTGGGATTATAGCCATATATTACTATACCTGAATGAGATCTGAATTTCAATCTAAGTAAAATGGTAAATGAAGTCACTGGAAGATTGATAAGTAAGAGAGTAAGATGATCCCTTTTTTTGGTCAGTGGTAGGGCTTGAATTTAGGGTCTGGGCGCTGTCCCAAAGCTTTTGTTCAAGGCTAGTGCTCTACTACTCTGAACTACAGCTACTTCCTTTTGTTTGTTTGTTTTTGTTGAGTGGTTAATTGGAAAAGTCTCATGGGAAGTTTCCTGGCTGGGCTGACTTCAAATGGCAATCCTTAGATCTCAGCCTCCTGAGGATTTAGAGGTGTGAGCCACTGTGTCCAGCTGATTCCACTTATTTTCAAAAGATTTTTTTTTTTCTTGCTGTGCATGAAGGATGGGAATAAGGCTAAAAGGAAGATTGCAGCTGCTGAAACTGACTTCATTTCATATACTATCCCCTTTTTCTGTGTGCTAGTGCTGTGGCTTAGGTGCTGTCTCTGAGGTTTTTTGCTCAAGGCTGGTGCTCTCCCATTTGAACCACAGCTCCACTTCCAGCTTTTTGGTGGTTAACTGTCTCAGCTGGCTTCAGACCATGATCCTCAGATATATCAGCCTCTTGTGAAATATACCCATACTATGAGGAGATACATATCACATTTCAGAAACCTGATTATCTACCTGTATTGTATTCCATGAAGTAAACCTTTCTACCTGAAAAGGATATACTCATCATCTAACATCACTATTTTATTTCAATCTTTGTTCTCTTTAATTTTCATAAATATAGCATCAGTAACTTCTACTAAATGAGGAAAATATCTGCTAACAAAGAATCTGAGCATAATAGGAATTCATGATAAGGACCCATCATTCTGAGTTGCTGAGTAGTAAAGGAGTCAGTGACAAGCCACAGAAACAGTTGTTCTTCAAAAAAGTATACATACAAACATATATGTGTATATTTAAAAATATACATACATACCTCCACTCATGGCTATACCAGTGCCACGGTGGAAAACAGACATCACCATGGGAAGAGACCACCTACAAAGAAAATACAAAGTCAATTTTACACAGGAAAAGATGGGCTGGGCACAGTGGCTCACACCTATAATACTAAATACTGGAAAGGTGGAGATCAGGATGGTTATGAGGTTAGGCAAAAAATGATCAAGAATGTACCTCAATTATAGTTAGGCACAGTGGCACACACTTGTCATTCTAGTTAAGTGGGGAAATGTAAATGGACAAGCATTGTCTAGGCTGTCCTGGGCAAAAATTAAAGAACCTGTCCCTAAAATAATGGAAACAAAAAGGACTGGGGTCCTGGCTCAAATGGTAGATTGCCTGACAAGTGTGAGAACATGAGTTCAACCTCTAGTACTACAAGAAAAAAAAGAAAGAACAAAAAAGATATATCTATAGAGAAAGGTCCGTCTTCACAAAGGAAATATAATTTTGAATAGTTTTTTTGTGGGTTTTTTGTTTGTTTTGGTTCTGGGGCTTGAACTCAGAGCCTGGACACTGTCCCTGAGCTTTTTTTCTTCAAGGCTAGCATTTTACCACTTGAGCCACAGCTCTGCTTCCAGTTGTTTTTTTGTTTTATTTTGTTTTGTTTTTGGTGCTTAATTGGATAGGAGTCTCATGAATTTTCCTACCCGAGCTGGCTTTGAACCATGATTCTCTCGGATCTCAGCCTCCTGAGTAGCTAGGATTACAGGCATAAGCCACTGGTGCCCCACCAACGTTCTGTTTTTAAAAAACAAAAATACTTTCACATTCCTTTATTTCCCTTTTCTAATTTGAAAATAAATAATTGGACCAGGAGCATAGCTCAGTAGCAAAATGCTTGTCTAGCATGTGTTAGGCCTTGGGTTTAATCCCCTGGTGCAGGGGGTGGAGGAGAAGAAAACTAATTTATTTAAGGAGAAATGTCTCTCCCTTTTTACAAGACTATGTAAGTGTTAGAGCCTAGAAGAGGGAATAATCACAACTCAAAAGTCCCTTCAAAAGGACAAACAACATGGTTCACCATGACACCAATTAAAGTTGGTAAAATTACAAAGTAATCTCTAGATCTTAGCTGAATATTCTGTGGAGTGGGGAGGACCAGAGAGAGAGACAGGGAACACTCATTACAAGAATATGACCACTTGGGTTCTTTTGTTCTACAGTCATAAAGGCAAGCCAAAACACAAATTTTGTTTATCCATGATTTCATAGAACACACAAGTCTTTTTAGTTTTTTTCATTCTCGGTGCTACTAGGGCTTGAACAGAGGCCTCACACTTGGCAGGCTGGCATTCTCCCACTTGAGCCATGTACCAGTCTTGCTTTTTTCTAGCTAATTATTTTGGAGATGGAGTCTAGCAAACTTTTCTGCCCAGGCTGGCCCCAAACCTTTAGACCTCAGCCTCCTGAGTGGCTAAGATTATAGGTGTAACCATAAGCTGTATAAAACAGTATCTCAGGGGGCTGGGAAGGTGGCTCAGTGGTAGAGCGCTTGCCTTGCATGCATGAGGCCATGGGTTCCATTCCTCAGCACCACATAAGCAAAAAGAAAAAAGCCAGAAGTGGCGCTGTGGCTCAAGTGGTAGAGCGCTAGCCTTGAGCTGAAGAGCTGAGGGACAGCACCCAGGCCCAGAGTTCAAGCCCCACAATCGGGCCACCCCCCAAAAAAAAGACAGATCTCAACTATGTAGCCTAGGTTGGCTTGAACTCATTATGTAGCACTCAAGCTGATCTCAACTCAGGATCCTCTGCCTAAGCCTCCCAGGTCCTAGAATTTTATTCATGCCCAACTGTTGTGTCCTAAAATATCTACACTGAATACATTACATTGCTGCCATTTATTTGGAAAATCAGTTTACATAGGGAATATTAAACATAATTGTACTCCACACTTTAAAAAGAAACAAGGTTAAAGGGAACTCAGAAAGTAGTGTTAGTAAAAAAAGAATAATGTTCAAAGAAAACAAGGACAAACTAGCTAGAAACCACTCTGACACATTTAATGGTATAAATATAAAAGGTAATAGGTAAAACTCATATAACCAAAGACAATTAGAAAATAATGACATAATTTGGTAACTCAGAATCAGGATACTAAAACCCAGAATGAGCTAAGACCTTGCAAAAATGTCAAAACAACCAAAAGTCGGCTTCTGGCCATGGTGGGCAAAAGAAGAAGGTGCTATGGTCCCCAGGTGACAGCTCGAAGACATGAACATGGCAGAGCATGGCAGGCCTTTGGCAGCAGCTCCCAGGCACGAGTATCCTGTCTTGTCTCCTTCAATGCAAACCACTATCTACATAGCAAATCTCTGAGTGATGAAGAGAACTTGAAATCATTCAGGAAATGTAATAATCCAAATGGCCATGGACACAATTAAAAAGACTTGGTACTGTTACAGGAATGGTTATGAATTTGACCAATTTGACCATTTTGACCTCAGAAAACACTTGGAGATCATTCTGAAACCCCCTGATTGTATTAAAGGGAGTCAGATGTGCCATATTTTGCAGCCTTGTAAGCATGTCAGAAAATGCAGCTTTATGAATTTTGGAAAACCTTCAGAAATTTCTTCTTGTGGGAGCTCTTTATAAAGCAAAAGTGGAAAAGAAAAAATCCGAAAGTGGTGCTGTGGCTCAAGTGGTGGAGGGCTAGCCTTCAGCTGAAGAGCTGAGGGACAGTGCCCAGGCCCAGAGTTCAGGCCCCACGACTGAACCCAAAAAAAAGCAAAAGTGGCCTGGAACCAGTAGCTCACACCTGTAATCCTAGTTACTCAGGATGCTGAGATCTGAGGACCATGGTTTAAAGCCAGCTTGGGCAGAAATAGCCATGAGACTGTTTTCTCTTATCATTCATACAAAAAAATCTGGAAGTGGAGCTGTGGCTCAAGTGGTAGAAGCTTAGGAGCCAGCGCCACTTGCTCATGCCTGCAATTCTAGCTACTCAGAAGGCTGAGATCTGAGGATCACAGTTCAAAGCCAGCCCGGGCAGGAAAATCCATGAAACTCATCTCCAATAAACCACCAGATAAAAAACGGAAGTGACAATGTGGCTCAAGTGGTAGAGCACTTGCCTTGAGCTAATGAGCTAAGGGATAACACCCAGGCCCAGAGTTCAAGCACCACAATAAAAAAAAAAAATAGCTTATGAACAGCACTCAAACCCTGAGTTCAAGCCCAGGACTGGCACAAAATTGTAAGGTCTGCACAGGGATACCTTCCTCCCTCTTGGCTAAGTTTCCATCCAGTATCTGTTACCTGGGTAACTGGCAGACCTGGAAGCAGTCACCTTTCCCTCTTGCTGGGTCATATCCTGGGCCACCTCTGGTCACAGGTCTCCTTACCTTAGGAGGGTCCCAGACCCTGAGGTCACATCCAGATCTAGTGTGGACACACCTCTTCTTGTCCTTAGCATAGATAAGTCCTGGCCGAGGGGTGGGTGGCCCTTCCATTTTCAGCCAAGCCTCTCCACCATGCAAGGTGGGGGCAGCAGTTTGGTAAATAAACTTCTTTTCCTGACTGAATAGGGCCTGGTGTTCTCTTCATCGGCTACCTAATGAAACCTACCTATTTAATATACCTTACAAAAATAACTTAATTCAATAAAGTAAAAGTGTATGAAACAGACAATACTGTAGTCTATAAAGGACAGTAGTTCTTATGGTTAACATTGTAGAAAGACTTCCTTTTATATTTGAAAAAGATAATTTATTCCCTTAATAGAATATATAGTCACCACATAATTGTTTTTCTGTGATGTATTCTAGAATGTTCTAAATCCTGTTAAAAATTTAAATGTTAGGCTGGGAAGGTGGCTCAGTGGTAGAGCGCTTCCCTTGCATGCTCAAGGCCCTGGGTTCGATTCCTCAGCGCCACATAAGCAAAAAGAAAAAAGCCAGAAGCGGTGCTGTGGCTCAAGTGGTAGAGTGCTAGCCTTGAACTGAAGAGCTGAGGGACAGCGCCCAGGCCCAGAGTTCAGGCCCCACGACTGGACCCCAAAAAAACAAAAACAAAACAAAAAGAAAAAAGCCGGAAGTGGCGCTGTGGCTCAAGTGGTAGAGTGCTAGCCTTGAGCTGAAGAGCTGAGGGACAGTGCCCAGGCC